GGGTGGGGGGGAGGTAGAGGGATTTTTTCAAAAAAAAAAGTTTTTTTCTTAGAATTATTCACAACATAAATCTATCGACTCAATTTTTGCAATACACATAACAATCGGATGCGAATCCGATGTTTCCTCATTGATTGAAGATATATTCAGAGGGAAAAAGAAATCATACAATGAGAGAATGTAGTCTATTTTAACAATCATTACTTCTCGCAAATGTCTGATTAATAAATATGAACAAGAATTTTAGGAAAGCGAAAGTCTTGAAATATGAGCTTAAATAATTGACATAATCAATCGCCTTAAATCACTAAACACATCAATATGTAAATAGCTTTTTAAGATTCAAAAACTGTTTGCATCCACAAACAAATGATAAAATACACGATCTTTCTTGTTTATCTATTGACCTAGTATAGATATGGCAACTATCTTATTTATCTATTGTACTAATTAAACATTGTTGAATGTCTTCGTTTGTTGAAAAATAAAATAGATTTTTTTGTTGAGAATATATGTGCCGGTAGTGAAAATAGAATTTATTACTCAAATCAGTCAACCTTCATCATTTCTCATCATGATCTGACTAATATTTAAATCAAAACAGAACTAATACATTTGATGATATGTAATCTTTACTCTAATGATCAACATATACCTTTTATATATGTACATTGAAAAATCTCGAAATTTGCGTCTCAAATATTCTGTATCGGTAAGTCAACATTGATCAAGTCATTTGTGCACAGAAAATTGTAAAAAATGTTCAGCCTGAAAAAACAACCAATTGGCTAGTCAATGATTGTTAATATACTGACAATATGCCGTCTTGCTGCTGTATTGATAATTTTATTTTTATACAAATTTATTTAAATATTAGAAATAAAAAATTATAAACAATACTTTTGCAATCGTAAGAAAAGACTAAAATCACTAGAAAAATAATAAAGTAAATACATCTCTTGGTCATATCTCATGTATTTATGAGCTATCTATGAGTATTGTGTACAAATTATCATATCTCAAAATAATATACAATGATTTGATAAATAACTGTCCTTTCGAATAGAACTCACTTTTTTTTTAAAGATCGACTCTTGCCTAAATTAAGAAAACTAAGCAGTGTTTATTCGATCTTTCGCTATTTAATTATGTTTTGTCTGCAAAAAATGAATCCATGAAATCCTTTTGATTAGACATTTAGCCCAATGTCTTCCAGGAAATCATCAAGCAATTTTATTTTTTCTGATGTTTCATCCATATCCGACGCATTAACCGTTGAAAATTCAGCTAAATAAAATTTTAGATCATCAATAATTGGTATAGAATCCTTTTCTTGCCGATCAACTACACTAGCAGCATCTTCAAGTACGAAATTTTTAAATTCTTCTTGTTCTAATACCTTAATAGAAGAAATTTATTTTTCAAATAAAAACAATAAGAAAAATAATCTCAATCGAACCTCTTCTAAATGATCGGTAATAAATCGAATACATTGATGTTCAAGTTTAATTAAGTCAAACAAACGTGCAAGTCGTATTGTTGTCATAATTGTATTGATACTAAGCATTTTTGAATAAGTATTTCCGCAAAGACGCTTTAAACCGGGTAAAAGAAGTTCATCGGCAATTACAAGTAAATCATCAACACAATCATTTGAAATCTATAAAAAGAAATTGTGTTTTTTAATAATATTCCATCATAACATTTACTTCACATTCATCTGAATAAATATAATGTAGAAGTGGAAGAAAATGCTCTTTTCGAATATGTTTTAAGACCACGATTGATTTTTCAGCACTTTGTTGTATCGTGTTTGGTAACATTTCATTAAAATGATCTTTAACGAGAGCTGAAAAATATTCTGTTCGCGTACACATAAATGCTCGATGAACATGAAAATAATAACATTCATCAATAATAAATACAAGATCAGAAAAAATATCGAGATGAGGTTGATCAATAAATGGCATTTCACTACCAGCAATCTTCAAATAACAATAATAAAATTATTTTTAGTATCTTTCTAACGAAATGACGTGAGGATCAAATCTTATTTTAATGTTTATTTTGACTCGAAAATTGAAACTACTGTTAGATTGAAGTTTATAGTGTTAGTTTGACTATTTAATACTTCAACTTTTGTAACAAAATCCATGATTTCAGAGTAGAAGAATTCATTGTTGTAGATTATTTCCGATAGGAAATATAATATAAAAGTACAAGCTTCAGTGAAAATAATATTCGTAACATAATTTCAAAGATTTTTAGAAAATAAAATGACATAGACTAATTAAAAGATGGGAAAAAATAGAATATTTTCAAAAGAAATTGATACGTCATATTTTTGTTAAAGCATTGAAAAATACTTAAAGAAAAGGCGATAGATCATACAGAAGTTTATTAGAATAAGAAGATTTTATTATTTCTAATCGTATGTTCAGATTCTCGTTTCTATGAAAACGACTATTCTTCAAAGACTCGCCAATTCAAACACTTCCAAGAAGAACTGAAAAGTATGCTTTGAAAAGTTAAATTTGTCGTATAAAATGGATTCACTGAAAGCAAAGGTATACCCTTTTTGAACTCGATATTTTTCAGTCACAGTACAACATTAATCCAGATTATTTCAAAAGAACTGAAAGGAACTGCTGCTGATTCCAATCAGCTGTCTGTCAGTAACAAAAACGATGGTGTGAAAATTTTGCACTATGACTTTTACGTCATAGATGGATTTGATTTAATAATATCAAAAGTTTCATTATCAAATTTCATACCCATTGACGAAGCTCTAACGGGATAGCTTGTTCAGCTAACATACAAAAATCCGATCGTATACTATCATCACCTTCATCAGGTTCAAGTACTAGACGATAAATATTTGATGATGATGATGTTTTACTTGCTTCTAAAAGTTACATAAAAGGAATATATATATATATATATATATGTCGCAGGCCAATCTCGGATTCAGGCCAATCCTGGATTTGTCTAGGCCATTCTAAGATCCGAGTTTGGACTAGTCCAATCTTGGATTGATACAAATCTATTCATTAGTATATCAATAACTTTTTAGATAAACTTTGGATTTGAGTCATTTTTTGAAATCATGTTCGGATAACGTCGTTTTATGTATTACAAACATTCACGGAGAAGCTTACTTTAGACTAGGAAGCTTATTAACAATTTTTCATAAAACTTGTTCCCGTAGAGAAATCTATTCATAACTCCTAATATTTCACTTGAACCTTTCCAAAACCTATTGTACAAAGCAAATTGGCATCGTATGAACATGATTTCAAAAAATGACTCAAATCCAAAGTTTATCTAAAAAGTTATTGATATATTAATGAATAGATTCGTATCAATCCAAGATTGGACTAGTCCAAACTCGTATCTTAGAATGACCTAGACAAATCCAGGATTGGCCTGAATCCGAGATTGGCCTACGACATATATATATGTTTACAAAGTAATAAGAATTTATATAAACATACGCCATTCGTCTATTGCGTATTTCTTACGCTCAATTAACTCAATTAGCTGAGGTAAACGGCAACTTCTAGCTAATGCTTTAACACTATCAATATTATCCAACTTTATTTCACAACAATTTGTATATAAATATCGAACCACAGCCTCGAAGCTTTCTGCATTAAACTAAAATAATAATAATTGTTTTTTTTCTTTATTAATAAGATGGTTAAATATTTAAATTACTTTTGCTTTTGTTAAATTAACCAATCGTTTTCCATGCCATCGATTTTCTAATGCTTCATGAAAAAATGATGACCTTGCAGCTAATACACATCGATGTAAAGGAAATTTGCGTTCATCAACCACAAAAGTTATATCACTATATAAACCTTGTTCAAATAGTCTTAAAATGTTTTCAAAAATCTATTAATATAGAAAGAGATTAATTTTATATTGAAATATTACTTTCTTAAAAATTCGTCATAAGTATTTCGTTTAACAATTCGCGTTGTTAGAACATTATAATTTCTTAGCAATGTTCGAATACTATCCGTTAAAGCTCCATATCGGCAACGTTCACCATCAAACGTATTTGCTTCACATCGAGCACCTAAAAGAAACAAGAGCATAACATCAACATTGAAGATTATCCAATCATTTTAGTTTTTCAGCAGTTTGAACTAGTTTCAAGTTTACCATTTAAATTTCTTGCAACTTAATGAGTATTATTTAAAATCTTCGTATTTTTAAAGTCATTACTAAGAAGGTTCGTCTTATTGCGAATATCTTTCTTGTATTTTACAAGTGAAAAAGTGTTATTCTTTGTTCCTTCATATGCGCTCTATGTATAAATTGTTATTTAAAATCTTTTCTTAGTTTTGTTTATTGAAATCAATTAAAAACAACAGAAAAATACCGATGAATACTGACTCATGGATTCCATTCAAAAATCTATGTGTAACGAGTGAAAAGTCAATTCACTTCTACAAGCCTAGCTTACGCCTTTTATTGATCTTTCAGAATAATTTCATCTAATCAAAATTACACTTTCAAGATTTAGCTATTTAACCTTGTTCCCGTCTGTTTTACACTTCAATTTGTGTGTACTAAAAATGTGAGTACACTCTAGATTCGGGCAGTGTGTCAGTCCATCCGTTAACACGATAAGTCTTGAAAGCCCCATCCAATTGTCATGAAATTGTGTACACAAAATGATCTCATTAATAT